ACCAGAACTGAATGTTCACGTGTCTTTCTGCTGCACTGGTGAAGTTCTGAGGCTCAGAAATGATGGAAAAAGTTAAATAAAACGTGCACTTTGAGCTCCGTAGACACTCGTTATCGCTCCAGTGTTGGCCTATAAAAGCAGGAAGCTGGACTACTCAGAGGTGTGCAGCGTTTTTCTCATTCCGGTTCACATTCTGACGGTTCTCGCTCTGTTCTTACCGCCGGAGAACATGTCCTTGTTGACCTCCAGCAGAATGGCCACACCGATGTTGTCTTTGGTCATCACTCTGTTCAGCATGACCTCAGAGCCCTCGGAGTTGGCCATGGCCACCTGGTTGAACTCCACGGTGTGTTTCTGGACCAAAGTGAACCTGCAGGAACGTCCACAAAGCAGCAAATGAGTAAACCTGCAGAGCGCCGCCTACAAAACCCGATAAATCAAACACAGATTTAAGCTGCTAGACTGACTTCTCGGTCTTGAAGAACACCGCGCAGCCGTCCACGTGTTTCCTCTCCTGCTCAGAAACCAGTTTGGCACGAGATTTTGGACAGAAGTAGCCGTCGTAGCCGCGTTCTTTTAGCGTTTCCAGAAACAGGGTGTAGTACTGCTCCGTCTCCACCTCCTGCAGACACACGGGGGAAGAAAAACCATCCGTAAAATACAGATAATTAATAAAATGTTCTGAGATATTCTGGTCTCGATGATCCTGTGGGAAAGACTGAACTTACTACCATCAACTGAGACTTTTTTTTTTTAGACATTCCAGGACTGACGGACTGTTTTTGTTTCCCCTTGTACATTTGATCTTTGCATATTTTCACATTACGTTTCTGTCTGAAAGCTTGACGCAAAAATCAGTAGCTTTTTGTTTTAAAGAGGCTTTTATCCAAATCCATGCAGGATGTAGCCGATAATAGAGGCAGGAGTGCAAATTATACACAATATGCATGATTAAAAAATGCAAACAGTATTTATATGTTTATATTAAACCACGTGTGGATAAATTACACGTGCAGCCACAAGTGTAAAAACCTTCATACGCAACTTTTTAGCACGACAGCGAACAAATATTTTCAATTAAATGATTTACTTGACAAGTTCTTTGTTGTACAAACAGTCCACAACTGAAAGATATTCAGTTTACTGTCAAAGAGGAGGAAAGAAACCAGAAAAATAAAAATTAAGAAGCTGAAACGAGAGAATTTGGCCGTTTTTTAAGTCTAAAAATCACTCAAACTGATCATCAAAATAGTTTACGATGAATCGATTAATCGCTGCTGGGCTCATTTTGAAAGCAGCTGAATAATTCTTCTGTCTGACACTGAGAATTGTGTGAACTCTAAGACACATTCTGAATTATTTTAATCATAAACAGGGATAGCCGGTCTTTTCCAACGATACAGCAAATACCAGAAGATTTTTTTTTCACCATTTATGCTTCAAACCCCCAAATCTGCTGGCAGATATATAAAAAGGTATTTTCCTTTCAAAAAAAATAAAACAAAAAACCTACAAATTACAGCATTCATCAGATCCATAAACTGTAAAAACGTAATTATTCTTCAGAAATTCAAGTTTCCAACAGCCCTTGAACTAACCTTGCGCAACGTGTGGTTCCATCTTGAAAATTAATCAAATCTGAGGTTGAAATTAGTAATATTTAATTTAAAAAGAAAAATACTTTATTCTACATGTTTTGTTTTAAAAATTGACCAGAAATTTAACATTTACACCAAATCCTGCAAGAAACAGATAAAAATGTTGTTCTCCCACTGACTCAGCTGTGACCAACATTTACAAAAAAAAAAACAAACCACTGGGTGAATTTTTGGCTTAACTGCAGGCAGTGTAAAATAAATTAGTGCATTAAAAAATCAACAAAATGAGACCATTTATCAAAACCAGAAGCTGCAAAAACCAAACAAAAAAGTCACATTTTCAACTTTCCGACTGTCCTTGAATGAAACATAAAATCGGGATATATTGCATTAAACTCACTTTATTTTACATGTTTTATGTTGAAAAATCACCCAAAATAAATGGTTTGCACCAGATCTTGCAAAAAACCCTAAAAAACTGGCACTCGTCTGCACTTGAAGCTGCGACCAACAGTCACGTGACAAAAATTCAGGGACTTCTCGGTTGAACTGCAGTCTGTGTTTACACAGAGCATGTAAATGAGTTAAAGAGACTGAGAGGAAAATTAAACAAACTGGATGAATAAATAAATGCAGCTTGGCTCAGAAACAGTGAACAAAGGAGCCAGTTGTTGGAGATACATCCAGCTGATGGTGGAACATCTTTCTAGTGAGTTTTTTCAGGTTCTAAAAATGTAAATTGTTAAATATCTGTAGCATGCTGAGCCTAATTTTTTCCAGTTTTGCTAACACCTGTGTAAGAATGTTGTACATGTTGATGTTTTTCAATTTCTGAAAACATACAAAGAAATTTAACTCAGTCACTCTGCACAGACGACATTTCCCTCCTCCATCGTGGTCGTTCTGTTTCTATAGCGGTTCACGACTTTGTATTGCAGAAAAACATGAGCTACTGGTGACGGGAGCAAAGAAAAACACCCAGAAACTGTTTGGCTGACTGAGCTCATGTTTCTTGGAAAGCACTTCCAGGTTTTGGGCCAAGTTTCATGTTTGTAGCTTCTTCCATCTTACAGCCACTGAAGCTGCAGCATCAGAAGAAAATTAAAACCTTTCTGTGGTTTGAACACTGAGGCTAACATTTTACTGATCTGTGTCTTTATCTGCGGTGCGGCGTGGTGTTTACCTGCAGGCTGATGATGTCGGCGTCACAGTTGGTGATCTCCTCCATGATGCCTTTCTTCCGGTACTCCCAGTTCAGCGCCCAGGATGGACAGTAGCCGTACAGCTGTCGCGTGGCGTATTTGTCGCACAACACGTTGTAGCACATGACGGTGAACGTGGCTGCAGGGAAGCACCGACAAGTTTGAAATCATGTTAATCTTTAGAGATTGTGAGAAAAGAAATACGTAGAAAAGTAGGACTGAAAGTCGCTGTTACATAGAGCGAGATTTTTCACGCAAATATGAGATCAGAGAGAACTGTTTGTGCAAGATAACGCTCAGAAAGAGTGACAATAACATGAGAATAAATGCTGTATGTATGTGTATGATGGAGAAAGCAATAAGATATGAGCATGATACAGATTGGAAAAGCACAAAGTAATACTGACGGTAAGTAGTAAAGTCAAACTGTGCGTGATGGTGAACTAAATGAAATTAAAATATGACACTGACACTAATGCTGCACATACTCGAATTGAGAAAACAATCGTGCAAATTATAGTAAAATAACTGCTCATGAAGTTGAATTATTTGCACCTGAAATTGAAAAATTACACGATACTAAAACTAATGTTGCAGATACAATTGAGTAGCTAATATTGCAAATAATACCCAAATAACTGAACATGAAATTGAAATAACTGAACATGAAATTGACAGATTTGCACATGATACTGACACGAATGTTGAACATACCTGAATTGAGAGAATAGTAGTGCAAACTATACTGAAATATATGCTTGTGACATTGAATTATTTGCACCTGAAATTGAAAAATTAAATGTGATACCGAAACTAATATTGCACATACAATTAATAAAGTATACGCTGTAAATGACATTAAAATAATTGCACATGAAATTGAAATAATTGCACATGATACAGGATCTGATGCTGCACAGAACTGAGTCACTAATACAGTAATGGATACTGATATTATTCTTCAGTGTATGAATGTTCCAGCTGTTAATATGCAGAACACTGAACTGATTAAAGCTTCTCAGATGTGAGGATTTTGTGCTTTCTGTGTCACACACAGTAAAAAACCAGACAGTCATTTAGACAAACATCTAAAGGAATCGACTCCAACGCTCTCATCTGCACGTTATTATTATTTGTCTGAAACATTCATTTTCCTACTTTGAACGATTCTTTCTCAACTAACGTCATTTTATCTGCGTTTGATACGACGACGGGATGAAATTAAAGCCTCATTTTAAAACTCCAGAGCTGAGTAAAGATGCCTCCATAAATAAAGGATGAGATCACGGCTGAGTTTAATCGTACTTGGCAGCCGAGCACAACAACCAAGAGACACTCGACACCCTCTGCGCTCCAAAACGATGTATTATTGTTTTTGTTTTGACAGCTTTTTCCCTTCCTCTCATTTGTTTTCAACTGAACGCCGACATTACGAATGCGATGCTCTGGACAGCTTCCTATCTCCGCCACCCTCCAAACCTTCTCATTTTTCCGCACTGTGGGCTCATTTGTCACTGAAATTTAAAGTCCTGCACCTCCATGGAAACAGAACAACCATGACTAGAAGTAGAGACATCTCAGAAATGTCTTCTGGACACTATGACACAGTTAGAATGAAATAAAACACAGGAAATAAAAAATGAAAGCTGAATTTCTTTGGTTATTTGTTTTCCAGAAACTGAACAGAATTTCAGGTGCCCACA